ACCCTGTGCTCAGCAAGCTTGCGTGCGTCGGCACGTAGATTGGGTGCGTCCTCCAGTAACTGATACGCTGGTACGCTTAGGATGTCTCCGCGAACCTCCGGGTCAGTGGCAAACCTCTCAGGTCTACGCGCAAACACCCCCATCATTACATTGCGGCCTTCGTCGACCACGAACCTGGAGCCAACGTACTTCCTGATGAAGTCATTTAGCGTCATTTGTCATGTAGCATCTACTCCCGCCAGCAAGACTTCCTCCACGGTACTGGCGAGGGTCCACCGTTTTTCCGCAGGTGCTTCTTCCACCCTTCGGCGCTGTGCAGGGGGTGCCGTGGAATCGCCGCTGTCGGGTCCCGCCCTCGCATGCCGCAGCCCCCGCGGCACATCAGTGGCGGGGCTCTCCGCGGCACGCTCCCTCGTTCGCTTTGGAGGCATTCGTTTGCTTGATTGATTTTTACTGTGTTGTGGTTGCTGCTGGCTTGAGCCGCAGCCGAACACCAACCACCGGCCAAAAAAGGAATGAGAGGGAGAGAGGCAAAAAAAAGGCACACACTCACACTCGTCAGTGAGAGAGTGACACGTGCGGAGCCAATTATCGTTCCGCCTCAGAGGAAATGCACGCAAAAAAAAATACACCAGCGCAAAGGAAGAACAGCAGAAATTCGCTTTTTTCCACAATTTATGGGCGGTGCTGGCGGAAAGGTAAGGTGGATGTCTAGACATGCATCTTGCCCCTTCATTGGACGCTGCACTCCAATTTACACGGAGGCCGGCACACGCACGCACAGAGAGAAAAAAAAACGAATAATTTATTCGCTCCAGAGAATCACGCAATTGTCGCTTCATCGTCTTGCGATTCAGAGCGCCCCGACGGCGCAAGCGCAAGAAGTCTGCACAACGCGACGTATGTCCCTCTCACTATATCTCTTCCTCTATCCAACTTTCCAATGCGTGCCACAGTGGCGCTCTCGTTATCGCAGGGGCGGGGGCCAGAGGTCAGTCCCTCGCATGCCGTGGAAAGCGGAGGCTTAACGCGTGCGCACGCGCTGGCTGCTGGCTGCTGGTAAAGCACAAGCCCGATGGGAAGGACACCCGACTCAAGCCGTCCCGTAACTTCATCCTAAACGATAATAAGACTTTTCTACAGCATCCTATGAAATGGAATAGCGGAAACATTCATCCAGAGAAATTAATAGATCTACGCAAATAAGCACCCCATAATTTTTCCCCCTTTTTTTAAAATATGGTTATGCCTTCTTCTCTTATCAGTGTGTAGGAGGTCGTCAAGACAAGCGTGCCAAAAAAAGTAAAAGCGGAAAGCAGCGTGTTGACCGGCCCTTATCGCTCGCAATCCGTAAGTTCCGGCTGCCTCGCATTGCCTGGCATTTCGCATCCACGGAAGCGAGCCAACCCCACTTATGGATGCCAGGCATCCTTTTGTACTTCTAGGGAACTTGGTCAAGGAAGAACCCTCACCACCACACACAAGAGGGGGGAAAAAAAGAAGTGGTGGTAGGAAATCATCACAGCAGGGAGGTGCAAGAGGAAGGGTATCCATCTTTTCCTCCCCAACCCTCTTCCCAATCAAGTTCACTGGGCCTCATCGGCGACCTCGCCAAGGCTGTGACGTGTAGAGGAGTTGTGCAGACTTTTCTCTCACCCAAGCACACTCCCTGCCGCATTGCTGCCAATGGCACTGTACCGCGAGCAGAGTAGGCGAGAAATTTGCGGGCTGTCGCAAGTATCCGGTGTCAGTCACTCCTCCTCGGAAAGGTGAGAGAGGCACATGATGGAAAGAAAGAGCGAGGGAGCAAAATGTATGCTCCCTTCCGTTGATAGTGGGAAATGTAAATTTACCCTTCGAGGGGAACTCCTGCAGAAATGTCAGTGAAAACGGATGACACGCTTCCGTGCTCTTGAGCTCGTCGTTGGTCGACTCACGGGCTGTAGAAACATGTTGCAAAGCTCCTGGAAGAAAGGCACCTTCCTCAGTGTTGTCCTCCAGATCAAAAGCCAAAGCACTATAATGAAGGTGCATCCAACGCCAAGCGTGAGGAACACAAACGACGCGCTGAGGACGGCATCACCCAGCTGACTAAATACGGAAGACATACTACCTTGTTGCACAAAAAAAGCAAAAAATGACCGACCGAAGCGGGAAGCGTGTAGAAACATTGCATGCGAGAGAAGAGGCAAACACCACAAGCCGACAAACACCAACGCATCACTCTCTCTTCTTCCCCCTCCCCCAAGGTCCGCAGTCTTCATGTACTACATACTTCTTGTTAGACACTATGCCTCCCTTGCGTCAATCGGAAGCACTGAAGCTGTTTGGCCCAAGCCCCCCAAAAAAAGGAAAGTTTGGGAAATGTGGACTGGCTGGCTTCAATGGAACACCATGCAAGGAGGTGAATTGAACTCGCTCCTCAGGGCGGCTTGCACATCTGTTCGACGCGGGCGTATTCGTAAGCGCTTTCGGTTGCCTAAAGTAGGGGCATTTCAGGAGCTCTTCCGCCGTAGGTCGTTTGGAAGGTTCACGATTGCAGCACCACATGATGATTTTCTTCGCTTCTGCTGAAATGCGCTCGTCCAGTTGGGGCACAAAACTCTCGTTATACCCCACATTGTAGCAGAAGGCCTGAATTATCATTTCGTCCATGTTCGGCCAGGGCAGAATGCCGCTTAACATCTGCGCCATCATAATACCGAAACTCCACACATCTGAGGCCTTCTCTGCCTTGCCGCGTGCAGCCTCAGGAGCCATGTACGGCGCTGTCCCCTCTGGTTGGGAAGTGTTGGAGGTTTTCAATAGACGCTGTGACCTCCCAAAGTCACTCAGTTTACACAGGCCAGTCTCTAGGACGAGAACGTTTTGTGGTTTAATGTCGCGATGCACAATGTCTTTTCGATGCAAATACGCCAGTCCCTTCAAAACGTCCCGCAGGTACTGTTTCGCCCGATCGACGTTAAACTTGGTGAACCGTTTCAGCATGTTGTAAAGGCTTCCACCGCTTGCAAACTCCATGACAAGAAGAAGTTTGCTCTCCACTACGGCGCAGGAGATGTATCCCACAATGTTGGTATGACGCAATCGCGAGAGCAAACTCACCTCATTAACGATGGCGTCCAGCGCCTCGTCCACGTTCACGTCAACGTTAATGCCTTTTCGTCGCAAGCGTCGACGATTGACGCTGCTCATTTGATTCGATTGCAAGTGCCTCATTGTGGGCAGTTGGATTGCCTTGATGGCGACCAGTGCGCCGGTCGGCGACAAGCCCATATAAACACTTCCCTCAATCCCCATGCCCAAGATGCGGCTGGACATTCGAAACGTCATGCCTTGTCGATCACGCACATCCACAACTGGAGGTTGCTTTAGCGTCTCTTGCAAAATAGGACGCGTTTTTGCGGTGGTTTGAACGCCACTCAGACGGCAGTTCAGCCGCGGTTGGGTAACCTCGCCAAACACCGTCGCCGAGCTTGCGTGTGCGTCCGACTGCCTCAGTATGGCGCTTCGCAGTTGATCCTCGACGGGGGTCACCTTCGGCTTCCTCCAGTGATAGGACAACTTATGACGCTGCGTCACGGTGTTGTCGCCAGGCTCCTCAACTGGAAAAATTTGCCACTGGGGAACTCGTCGCGTGTACATCGTCCCGCTCTTTTTCAGGTAGGAGCATAGCTGGCCCATGCGCAGCGTCCAGGCATCCTTGCAGTCTTCCCCCGCGAGCTCCAAATAGGTGCGCTCCGCAAGATCGTATTCGCCCGCCTGAAATTGTTTGAAGGCCTCTGTAAATCGCTGGAGCGACGGAACGGGTTTCTGAACAATCTCGTAGACCACATGTCTGCTATTATCGAAATCCGTCACACAGTCTATTGGAATACACGCAAAGGCCTCTGGACAATGCTCCGGTAAGCCCCCTGCACACGCATATTTCACGCCCTGCGCAACCAACAAGGCGGGTAATTCCTCTGCAAGGGGCACGCATCGCCCATACACCACCATGGCACATTCCTCTTCTGAACCAACAGTGCCAGCCAAAACGTGGCCTGAAGTTGCCACCACGGCAAGGGTTAGGTCGAGTCTCATAGGAACAACTACCTCCGTAAGCAGAGGCTCGAGGGCTTGGGTGGCCACACATACGCACTGCATCCCGGCCTTTTCGTGATCCGAGTTATCGCTAAAGGCATTCCATACCGCAATCACTGTGTCAGGTGTCGCGTTGAGGACTGTCCCATTGTGTCTGTCAATGAGGTCTGTCACCACAGAGAGAAACTGTTGCGAAAGGTAATGGCAGTAATGCATGTCATCGTCCATATACCCTGCGAGACCAAACAAGGATATAAGCACGACAGTGGCCTTTCTTGCTTTCAGACGAAACCCAAAACGACTATGGATTCCAGAAATATTGAGTGTCTTTTGGGAAATTTCGTTTTCCGCCTGCCTCCTAAAACACTCGCGCGGCAGCGCCGCTTCCGTAGCATTTCTGGCGTCCGTGGGGTGAGCCAAACCCGCTCCCTGATTTGGGGTGGCAAGCGAGTTGAGACGGTGCCTTCTCTGCAAGGAAGAAGCCCCCGTCAATATGAGCGTTCCCAGGCGATTCGCTGAATGCTCTCCCAATGTCCTCAAAACGGCCGTGCCTCCCAACCTCACGTCCCGCAGCTCCACCGGAGACTCCTTGTGAAACACGGCGTCGGGGAGCAGTTTTCGAAACTGGCGGAGCACCAAGGAAACGTCGTTCATGGAATCCTCGCATTGTTGGAGCTCCAGCGCCCTGGAGTAGCGTTCAAGCAAAAACGTTTGCTTCTCCGTAATGGCGTCCACATCACTGAATTCGTTGACGTAGAGTGGCACACTCTCCAACTGGAGCTTGCCCAGGTGCGCAAAGGCAGCGTGCGTCTTACCCATTGAGCGTTCAAGCTTCATTGAAACCCGCCGAAGATACCACACCGCCGCGACGGCTACAATAATGTACACAAGTATGAAAGCAACGGAGGCACCGATGAGCACATTGCGACCGCGGTTTACTATCGACGGGTCGGCAATGACGCCACACACATTCGTGGCACGGGCAGCATCGTTGCTGACAGTTTTGTGGTGCACGTTAACAAACACTGCAGCGGCCACAAGCACCACGGCACAAAGGCAGCAAAAGCAAGAGACCGCAATAGTTGAATGAGCCGAAAGAGGGAAAAAGAACGAGAGGTCCGTCTCGGGACGCCCCACAGGAATCGGGACATCAAGATTCAGGGCGCCAGGGTGTAAGTTCCGCCGGCGCCTGCCGCTGCCACGTCTGTCCATCGCAGCTGATGTCCGCAGTTTTGTCTTTGCTAGAGGCGCCTTGCTTTCTACCGCGCCGGTCTCAAGTGTTTCTCCCTGCCCTCCCCGCACCCCACTTCACGCAGAACGTTGACAACAGGAGAGTGTGAGCGTCACGCGTACACGAAGAAGGAAAAGAAAAAAACAAGAAAAAAAAGGAAGCATCATCGTGGCAGGTGAGTTGTGCGGTATGCAGGCAGAAGAGACAAGAGAATGTTCAGGCCGGGGCACGCGGAGACGTCCTTGCCTCTCTGAGAGGCAAAACTCCTCTCTCTCGCACACACACACAGAGAGAGAAAGAGAGAAGAAGTCTAAGGAAGTAGGCAAAGTAGCGAGAAAGAAGGAAAGAAAAAATGATTAACAAAACAATTTTATTTAAGCATCGGAAACTTGTGTGTGCACTGGTGCTCACACGCCCCCCCATGGCACGTCTTTTCGCATGTTTTGCCACAGCACCCCAATAGTTTTCCGCACTTCTTCCCGCATGAAATTGTCTGCCTATAGCAAGGCAAAAAGTACGACATCACCTTATTATGCGAGGCACACCGTTTTTCCACAAGAACCACGCAATCAGGGCACTTATCCTCAATGTGGCATGGGTGGTTCGCTGGGTGGCCGCAAGGACGAGGGATCACGCACTCGTGGCTGCAATTTGGAGGTTTTGTGCCGCAGGGCACTGGAGGCTCAATCCACGTGCGTCGACAACGGCAGTACAGTCTCTCGTAGGAGGCGACGCCGCACGGAGGGCACGGCCCCTTGTGGCAAAGTTGGCCACAAGTGTGAATGCCACACGGCAACCGTTTGGTGCAAATTTGGTAGCAAGTGTGGTCCTCATTGGAGCAGCAGACCTCCTTACAAATATGCCTGCCACATGACAAGTGCTTTCGGCAGGGTTTTTGGCATTTGGGAGGATAACAAAGAGACACCTTCGTCTCGTCAATGTTTAACTTTACGGCAGCCGCTTTCCATTCCGCCGGGGGCAAGTAACGACAAAAGCAGGGATATGCCACATCGCAAGAACCACACGCACACCTTGAGGTGATTACCTCAGTACAGGGCGGGCACACAAGGGTGTCATGGCAAATCAAGGAACAAGTGTGATTGCACGGAAGGGGCGCCCCGCAAACAAGGCCGCAGGAAGGAACTGGATCCAAACAGGACTTCCTTGGAGGATCAGGGAGTTGGCTTAGACGCACTTTGCCACAGGGACAGAATGTCTGTCGCTCAGGCGTCCGTAGACAAGGTTGGCAAGGTCCTTTGTGGCATTCAAACGGGCAGGTGTGATTTCCACAATCCAGTGGCCTCGCACACACCTTGTGGCACGAGAAGGGTTCATTCTCGCCACAGCGCCGTTTTCTTTTAGTGGCCCCACAATAGCAGGTTTCTGTCGTTAGCACCGTGCAGATTGGGCACGGCCCTTCATGGCAAAGAGCGGTGCAGTGGTGGCTCCCGCAGTCAAGCAACTTCCCACACACCTCGTTGCATTCAAAGCCGCACACCCCACTGGAGCAACCGACGCTTTTCTCCGTCTTGCCACAGTAGCAGGACTGCAGACGGGTCAAGGGACACGGAGGGCAGGGCCCCGGATGACACATCAACGTGCAGGGATGCCCACACCTTGGATCGCGACGACGCCGCTCACACATCTGACCGCAAGAGCCCGGCACCAGTAGGGGGTCCGCAATTGGGTCCTTCACCTTCCCACAGAAGCAGGTGTACTCCGCCACGGCAGCCGTTGGGTTAATCGACTGGCAAAGAGGGCAACGAAACTGCGATGCAACGCACAATGCAGCGCCCGAAGCTGCATTCTGCTTTTCCCGCTCCTCAGTCTGTGCCCTCACCCAGAATCGCACACACGATAAGTGCACAATCCCGTGGCATACGGAGCAGGACCAAAGCTTGGCACGAAGATGAATAATTTCGGAGCAGACCGCACACTCGTAGCAGCCTGTTTTCAGGCGTTCGGAAAGACTTCGTGCGAGTTCCGTCCCCTCCTCCTCCTCCTCCATTGAATGTAGCAGCAACTTCGCCTCGGCCCTCAAGACGCAGGGAAAAACAAGAACAGCTACCACTACTACCACTACAGCAAGAAAGGCACATATGAGAGGAATAACGTGAATGCAAACAGGCCGTTAGCATACGCCAAAGAAGAAAAAAAAACACACACACACACACGAGTCACAAGGAGAACAACATCTACGGCGGAAGCATACACGCGTCTGCTAATAAGGGTATCGGAGTTTCACTTATGCTCCTGTAAGGTATGCTCCAAGATCCCGCTCCACGTCGGGGTTTTTGAGCATTTCGTAAAAATTTGAGCACTCGGCGTTTCGAAGCGCCGATGTACAAAAGGGCGCAACAAGTTTCTTCCGTGATACCTCCTTCACCGTCCAGTAGCACCAAGGGGTTCCGCCAGTCAGCCTCTCAGCCATGTCCAACGCCGGTATAAGTACCTCATCTGCATTTTCCACGGTCTCATCTACGAGCCCAATCATTTTTGCGGTCTGGGCATCCACCAGCTCCCCGAGCTGAAGGAGCGCCTCACACCTTCTGCACCCAACAACATACGACGTGAGAGCCGCGAACGATGGTGGAACCGTCAATCCACACCTGGTGGCATTGATACCGATTTTAAATGGTCTTCCCTGCCCGTCCCCCCTTGCCGCCATGACTCTGTAGTCCGATGCCAATGCTATGATACAGCCAGCACCGACGGCGTCTCCATTTATAGCCGACACCAGCGGAACAGGAAGGGTGTTGAGGGTTACATACAGTTTTTGAAGCTGGCTCCAATAATGCGCAAAGGTTTCGTATTCCATGGTTGTGTGGAGCAGCTTCAGATCCAAACCTTCACTAAAACTACCAACAAGTGCAGAGGTCAAAACAATACCCCGGCAAAGCTCCTTCTCAGGGTTGCACAGCTCGCCGATTGCGTCCAAAAGTTCGCTCATGAGGGATGCAGAGAGAACGTTCTCCGTCGGGTTTTTCATGGCAAGGACCATGACGTCCTTCACGGGGGATGCCGTCACCTCAACTAGCTGTCTTGGCTTAAAACCTCCCACCCCTCCCGTGCCAAACTCTCGTCTGGCCACAATCCTGGGAAGCCACCGCCCATGCCTACCTAGCCGCATCGAAGCCTACGAAAGCACCCACACCAACACCGTCAGCAGCCAAAGCGAAAAGCAAAAAACAATAATAAAAAAACGGGAGGAAATAAAAGTAACGCGCGGTAGAAATGAAAGCAAATCCCAGGCTGGAATATTTCCCACGCCAAGCTAAGCTTCGCCCTTTGTTGTTGTCATTGTTGCTATTTATGTTTTCTTTCACTTGCCTTGCGTCGTCAGTAAGCGCGAGGGCCGCAGCTCAGCCGTGCGGAGCAGAATGTGCCTTTAGACAACCCGATTCGCGCTGAGTCTTTCGGCTGAAAACGCGCGGTACACGAACCGAACTCTGCTTTGTAGGGTTGTGCGTGAGAGGTTACCTACAGGGTTATGTGTGGCGCCACTTATTAGCCCCCGCGTGGCACGGGGAAAGTAACCAAAAACAAAAAGGCGAGTCAAGACGCGGCCGCGTGCCAGCGTGTGTGGATTCCTCAAAAAAACAACACCATACGAGAAAAGGTAAAAATTAAGAAAGGGAGGGGGAAAAAAGGATGGTGCCCTCCACAACCCGGCAGCTCACCTGTATGAAGGTCTGTACCAAGCCCTCTATGCGGTGGGAAAGAAAGAAAGAAAAAGGAAATGTGCATTCAGAGACAGAAACGCATATGCATACATTTCGCT